TAGTCTGTCTACTGGTAGTAGTATGTGGAAGGGAGAGACATAACCAGCATTGAAAGATGTCACATTCCAGAAATGTGGGTACAGCCATTTAAGAGAAGTCATAATTATATGTATGATTTGTTAATTATGTTATAACGTTCCAAAGGATAAGTTTAACATGCCCAGAAAAGTATCACCATTCGCATTTTCCTTCATTTTCTGGGTAAGGCTTTTATTCGCAATCATTGTAACCTTACCCCGTATTCATGGTTGGCAGCTGATGCAATGGAGGATGTGATTTCATGAGTAACGATGCAGCCAGCATTAAATACATGGTATTAGGGAGCCGAAGATACAAGAAGCTCTAGATATGGGTGTGGGAGGCTGCGCACCAGCGAGTCTGCCGAGGTTTCTCAGAGAGCAAACAATTACCATGATTGGTTCCGTTCCAAAAACCTGACCTTCGAAACCTTGCTCTGATTGGCCACTAGAATCCCTCAAATTTGCATATCTGGCACCTCATGATTGGTCCAAAAGCAACCAATCATAACCCACCGTTTACAACCAATCAGGGCCCACCGTTTACAACCAATCACGGCCCACCGTTTACAACCCACCAGAGTGTATATAACCACGATGCCTGGCCCACAGTAGCCAGATGACGACGATGACCAGGAAGATGATGACTGAAGAGCCTGAAGAGCTGAAACACCGCGCAGTCTCCAGACGACCCTGAAGATCCTGAAGAGCTGACACTGCATCATCTCCAGACGACTTGGGAGACCCTGAAGAGCTGTAACACTACATCGTCTCCGGACGACCCTTAAGAGCTGTGACACCGCGTCGTCTCCATGCTGCTCACAGTAGACGACGCGACCCTTAAGAGCTGTGACACTGCGTCGTCTCTGTGCTGTACCGTGCTGCCCACAATAAACAGACGACACTGTCGTCTCCGTGCTGTAACACTACGCCGCTTGTCCCGGCTCTCACTCCTTCACTCAGGAAACCTGTTCGGCTGTCCCCCTGGGTTGGGACATATGGGGGCAACTTTGAAGATTTCAGGGCTGATTAAGGAAAAGATAGGACCACGAAATGGCAATATTGCACAATAACTTTTTTTAGGAATTATTTATTTAATTTTATTTATTATTATTTTTAAAAATTTCCATAAGGCATGTGTACTTACCAGAGAGAGAAAGAGAGAGAGGGGAATTGAGAAAACAAGCTGTCAGGTCTGGGACTCGCACCATGGTTGGCCATGTGGTAGTCCAGCGCCTTCACCACCATGCCACCTGCTGGCTTGCACAACAACTTTTTAGTGGGGAGCATTTGCACAAGATTTACAGAGGAAGTTCCTTATGGAAGGAGTCTTTCCAGAGACTGTGAGGCTGCCACTCACAAGGCAAAGTGGGCAAAGAAACTCTCGCAAGAGAAAGAAATTGGAGAGAAGGCTTATGTGTCTAGGCCATGTTGTGCAGAAGCTAGTTGGGATTCTCTGGGTCAGAGAACTCTGCAGACCTGCAGCAGGGTTTGTCTTATCTATAGCTAGCAGGTGTTAGGCATAGCTGCATGGATTATACACAGCAGGGGAGCTCTAAATTGCTAAAAGTAAGCTCATTTGGGTTATACATATATTTTAAAAAGAATTATATTATTTAACTTTATTTATTTATTTATATTTGACGAGAGAGGGACAGAGTGAAAGACAGAGGAAAGTGAGAAAGCAAGCTGCTGGATCCAAGACTCAAATTGCAGCCACATGGGAGTCCAATGCCCTCAAACCGCCATGTCACCTCCCGCCCCCAGGTTATATATATATATATATTTTTTTTTTAAGGTTTTTTTTTCTTTTGCTGAAGGGCATGTGCCCTAGCCAGAGAGAGGCTATAGGGCGCATGCGCTCGTCAGACAGAGAGGGACAGAGGGACAGAAAACGAGAAATCATCCCCTAGAGAGGATGGCCACACCACAGTCCTTTCTTCTCCAGTCTCTTCTCCGGATCTTAGGTATGTATATATGCACGCATGCACATGTGCCTGGCATAATTTTGAAGCCACTGGGTCTGAGGCTCAAACCACAAAGGTGGCTATGAGGGGTCCAATGCTTTAACCTTCACACAACCTGCTGGTCCCACTTCAGTTATATTTAAAGTAATTGAATGTGTAAGAATTTGTCAAGTGTAGGGACCAGCAGTTAGCATAATGGCTATGTTGCTGGACTCCCACATAGTCAACTGCACCTCGCGTCCCGGACCCAGAGGCTTAAAACTCACACTGGGTGCGTGTGCATGTGTGCCCAAGATCTCAAGAGGAGAATGGAGGGGAAGGGATTGCGGCGTGGCCATCCCCTCTGGGGGGTGATTTCTCGCTTTCTGTCTCTGTGTTTTTCTCTGTCTGTCTGGCGAGCGCACGCGCCCTATAGCAAAAACCTCTTAAAAAAAAAAAAAGGGGGACCAGCAGGTGGCGTGGTGGTTAAGGTGCTGGACACGCCCATGTGGCCGGCCACGGTTCAAGTCCTGGATCTGGTGGTTTGCTTTCTCACTTTCCCCTCTCCCTCTCTGTCTCTCTCTGGTCAAATTAAAATGAATGAATGAATGAATGAATAAATAAATAAATAAATCTTTAAAAAAAAAAGAATTTGCCAAGTGTGTAAAAATATCCAAACACTATGTAAATATGTGTCCTTTGAGCTTGATAGATGAAACTTCTCATTTTGAATATTGAAATTGCATTACATTGAAAGTTAGAGACAGTAACGCGTTGCTGAAACTAGAACGTCAGAGGCAGTCATGTAGTGCTGAAACTAAATTGCTATCTTTAAATGATTATCAGGCCTGGCAGCTGCAGTATAGTGGTTATACGAGTGCCCTGCAAGGCCGGAAGTCATAGCCAACTAGGGTTTCAGATCTCCAAGACAGCTCGAAAACCTGCCTGGCACAGGTGTGGGTGCTCAGGATCCTGAGGAGCTAGAAGGCTGGAGGAAGGCCGCGTAGCAGTTGAGGAGACCCTGTTGAGGATGCTTCTCTCTGTCTTTTGTGTGTGTGCATACACTAATTTTTTTTTTTTGGAGAGGTTTTTACTATAGGGCACATGCGCTTGTCAGAAAGACAGAGAAAGAAAGACAGAAAGCGAGGAATCACTCCCTGGGGGGATGGCCACACCACAATCCCGTCTCCTCCATTATCCTCTCAGGATCTTAGGCACGCACGCGCACACACACACTCGGCGTGAGTTTAAGCCACCAGTCCAGGACTCGAACCACGCTTGACTACATGGGAGTCCAGTGACATAGCCACTACATCAGCTGCTGGTCCCATGCATACACTATTATTAAAACATATCAACTACTGTGGCATAGGTTTTGATTTCGCCTCGGCATGCCTGCCCAACCATACAGCTGTGATGAGTCAGTTTGCTCTAAGCAGGGAGTGAGACCCTGATCCCTGATCATGGTTAAAGGTCTTTTGGAGGCTAATGAAGCCCCTTTAGAGAGCTGACCACTAAAGACTTGAGATATAATTACCTTGAAAAGAGGTGACCACGTTCCACACAACCACCAAGTGGGTACTAAGTGTTGGCCTTGGCTGTATGAGCCTGAGGGCCCATTGCTCCTTTCCTAGTCCTCTTGGCAGAGGGTGTTTCGTGGGGGAACCGTGGCTGACCGTGAGTGAGACATAGAGTGGTCAACTTTGAGCTCCACATGGGCATCATGGTGGCTGTCAGAGCAAGACATGTGAGGACACCTGGCAGGTGACGTTTGTGGCACTGGACTGTTCAGCATAAACTAGGTTAAGACAGAGATGGAGTTCAGAGCTGGGGTTTGGCCTCATGTCTTCCCCTTTCTGACCTTCCCTCGCTTATCCTTGGTGGTCTTCCAGCCTATGACAGACAGCACCACCTTTGTGGCACTCCAGAGGTCTTTAGGGTGTACAGAAAGTTCACTCAGAGACCAGCAGTTAGCGTAATGGCTATGTCAATGAACTCCCATGTAGCCGACCACGATTCGAGTCCTGGACCCGGTGGCTTAAGCTCACGCCTGGCGCGTGTGCGTGCGTGCCCAAGATCCGGAGAGGAGAATGGAGGAGACGGGATTGCGGCGTGGCCACCCCCTGGGGGGGTGATTTCTCGCTTTCTGTCTCTATGTCTCTGTCTTTCTGGTGAGCTCTCGCGCCCTATAGCAAAAACCTCTCCAAAAAAAAAAAAAAAGAAGTTCACTCAGTCTGTGCCTCCAACTTCATTGGCACTCATTTCAGTCGCCTCTGTCCTGATGGGCCACTCAGCCCTGTTCAAATCACGGACAGGGCCCTGATTCCTGCTCTACGACTTTGAGGGAGAGACCCCGAAGCAGGCGGGGGCAGGGTCTTGCGGGGTTGGACAAGTTGGGGCAGGAAACTGGCTAGGGCCCCAGGGGAGGGATAGCCTCGGCAGGCCCGGTCCCCTGGGTGCGCAGGAGCCCCGTTTTTCAGTGCTCCGCGTTCCCCCCATTCCCCCAGCCCCATGCCTTGCTCCTGCCTTAGGCTCCCACCTTCCGAGGAGGTCTGATCGTGCGTGAGCCGGTCCAGGTGGCTCGACTCGGAACCGGGCTGGGGGAACAGCCCACCGTGCCCGCCCTACCCTTGCTGCTAGCTGGTCTCCCGGAGCAGAGAACCACCAAGATGTAGACCTCCAAGATTCCTAGAAAGGACTCTGGGAGGGTCTGGGTTGGCCGGGGGCTCTGATGACGCACTTCCGGGACGCCGTCATATTTAAGGCGCCGGGGCGTGTTCTCGGGGAGCCCGCGTGTGGCGTCCGCAGCGTGTTGGTGCTG